GAGCACTTAATCTAAAAAGGGGAAAAAAATCAAAAATAATTGGTGTTTTTTGATGATTCAATACAAAACATTCATTTTGTACAAAAAAAAACTTATTGGAGAAGTGATGTTTGTGATAGTTCATGATGTTACCATACATGATTGTGAAACACTTTATGAATACTTTATGAAACATCATCTCATATCTTACAGACAGGTTTGAGAAACTGTTAGATTAATCAAAAATTTTCTCTAAGAAAAAGGAAGAGGATATTACAAGTTGAACAGCTTAATCCAAAAGATTCTGAAATTAAATGTTTTGTTCTGTGGATGTGTGATATCGCAAGGTAAAACCCCAGACCTGACAGATGATGAATCATGATCAAAATACAGATATGCAACAGTTCATGCACTAAGAAAAACTCTATCTTTATCTACTGTTCTCAGCTACAATATGTATTTCTTTATAGACTCTTTAATTTCCTCTGCAGATAACTTATGAAAGGTTATAAAATAATATTGCAATATGTAGTTAACCTAAATGCATTATTCTTTCTGTATACTTTGGCATATTATCATTATTTTCATTTTCTTTTAAGTGTATGTGCATTAAAACATCTTAAGACTGCTGTTGCTAAATCTAAAGGCATGGGGAATCAGAATTATCAATGATTCTAAACAATTACTCATCCACCATACACTTACTTTCCGATGGTTCATTTCATACAAGCATAATTTTATGCAAATTTAATTGCTGATGATATTGCATTAAATCATTTTGAAGCTATATATATAAAAGATATATTTGAAACACACATGAATTTAGTATTTAAATTCTACATCTCAAAATGCTCTAGTAAATTATGCATTATGTATTAAAAATATATCAAAATCTAAAGAACTGCTAATTTCGAAGCATTTGACTGTTACTGGGGATTTTAGAGGGGAATGCTCAATTTATATAGTAAATGATAATTTGAAATTATACCATCATTCAAAATTTCCCATTTAAAAGTTTTTAGTTTTGAATTCCCATTACAAGAGTACATTTTATTTAATAATTAAGCATTCATTTATATTTGTTTTATTTTACTTTCACTTCATATGCTGGATAGGCTATCATTTGATAGGCTGGAAGTCTAATCATTTTAAAACTGTTGGTTGTTTTATGTATACTAAAGAGATATTTACATAAGTAATGCCTTAACACAATGTGCAACTGAGCATGTATGGAGAGATAAGTGTACAGAGTCTTGAGTTCAGAGATTAGCTTAAGAGTGATTGACTGAGTTGAGAGCTGTATTTAGTGCTTTGGCATGAAGCTGTCTTCACCATTATTCCTGAAGGCTGTGTTGCTGATTGATTCAGCTATTTGTAGTTTTTTGACAAACATGTCTTTGGAACTGTCCTGCTTACTGATGAATAAATTGTATTTTGATAGTTCATTAAGTATTATCATCAATTACTCCAAATCCACGAACTTGTAGAATGCAATAATTGGTGTCAGAAGTGGGATTTGTGAGTGAATGCCAGTGACTCGCCTACAGGAAAAAGCCATGGTGGAGGAAATGAGAGCTTTGATGGACTTGTTAGCAGCTGTAAAAGCAGGACAAGAAGAGATGAAAGCCGGACGAGATATCAAGGCTGGACAAGAAAAGTTAGAGAGCAAAATAAAATTGGGTCAAGAAGAAATAAAAGTTGGACAAGAAAAGCTGAAAGAGAAGTTCCAGCAGATAGAAGTAGAACTAAACAAAACGAGAAGAGACATTGTGAATCTTGGAGAGGAAATTGGAGACAAAATAAAAGAAAGTGGAAATGACAATACTAGCATCTGAAGAATCAAAAGATGAAGAAGTGAAGGAAATAGCTGCTAAAGTGTTTGAGAAAGATAAAAAATGAAGGATGAAATATCTAACGAGATATAAGAATGAGAGTGAAAAGATGAAGAAATGAAAGAGAGTAAAGAAGCTTTTGATTCTCAGGTGCCTAGGAAATGGAAATGGAAGAAAGTAATAATATTGTTTGTAAAGATGAAGAAATAAAAGAAGTGGCTAGTAAAGCATCTGAAAAAAGTGAAGAAATAATTCATGGAAATAAAATTCCTGATTCTGAGATGCCTGAACTAGAGAGGAAAGGAAGTGAAAATGTGACTGTTAAGTTGACAACTTGCATTATAAGACTTAGTTTGTGAAGGGGTAACAGTGTCCTGTGTAACAGTGCTTACTGGCAAATAAATTGTGTTTTGATTCTTCATCAAATGTTATCAACAATTACTCCAATTCCGTAAACCTGTAGAATGCAACAATATTTACCTTATTGTACTTGTATTTACATAAATAAGCCATAGCACAATGTGCAAAATGGTGCTGTCAATGTGTTTAAAGCTTATTACTTTAAAAACAATCATTAAGAAAGCAGCTGCATTAGCAAAGAAGTGAATTATGCTTTCAGACTCTTAAAATTATACAGTCAAAAGTCGTTAATCCGGACTCGTCGGGACTTCGGCGATTCCGGATTATAGATCATCAGTTTAAATCTGGTAAAATGGCATGCAGAAATTATAAAATTAAAAATATGAAACCGTAATTTACGAAATAAAGAACAATTAATGATCTAAAAAAAAAAGCTTAATATTTATTTGTTTACTTTATTAAAAATTTCTTTCAATGTAAGTTGTTTAAGTTGCTTCGTTTTTTATGTTATAATACATTCTCTTTAATTCTATAAATAGACATAATTTCTTGTTCAGTTACAAAGTTCCGCTGTCCTATAATTGACCAACCTATCTTTAACCAAGTCCTGTAATTGCTGTGTCCAGAATACCGACTAATTTGTCAATCGAAATTTTTTCGTTTTCAATAACCTGTTACTTTCTTCGCTATCGGAAGCGAATTATAATGACGAGGCATTTGATTTAAATCATATCAAAGACGAGATGAAATACTACATTGAGTAAGCAATTATAAGCCAAATAAAATAAAAACATCTGCTCTTAAGATAAGGATAGTGCTGACAGATCAACTTCCAATTCAATGCACGCCGCCGCCGCGTTAAAGATAAACAAAGTTTAAATAAACAAACGTTAAAGGTTAGATAAACTTCATCCATTTTTTGCAGCAATTTCCACTTTTTGTTAATGAACTTCCGAAAGATACTTTCGCTTTGTAGATCATTTACATATTAGTAAATATATATCGGAAATTCTATTTGACATAATCGAAAGTTCAAGCTTACTTATATAAAATTGCTCTAACAGTCTGCAAAAAATAATAATCCGGATCCAATTCGAAGATTAAGGAACAACGCATCCTGCAACATTAACTGAAATAGATAATTAGATAATTTTAGCTTAGCTTATCCCGTCCGTTATACATTAAACGCGTATTCGTAAACGTATTTTGCGCACGCAAATTAGCAGCGGTAAAGGTCTTACGCGCATGCGTCAACGCGAAGCATGCGCAGAAAGTTTGTAGCTTTGAGGTCCGGATTATGGGTGTCCGCATTAACGACTTTTGACTGTATTATTTAAATTTATTTTTCATTGACCTCTTTGTTTTATTTTTAGCTCAAAGGTTGTTAGCCCAGAAGGGCTATTAATTTCGTTTTGGCATTTTGTGGCTTTTCACTTTTTAGATTGTTACCACCAAATATTATCGCCCTGTATTATATTTAAAGAAATTAAATAATGAAGAATCTGCATAAATGTTTGTATGTTTTTTCTATTGTTATGAAACTGGTACCTAGAGCCGTGATATTTTGAATAACATAATCATCCACCCAAATATGGGCCTTTGGAAGCCCAAATTTGGAGTTTGTTTCATTATCTTTTTCATAATTTGTAAAAACATTTATGGGTTTTTGATTAAGAAACTCAACAACTGGCAACACTGTACGGGAGAAAAAAAATTTTTTGTCACTAGCGCGCGTACTGTGTGTCCGAAATTCTAAAAATATGCTCTTTTAAAATTAGTTAGTGATATTGCTGTTGAATTGAATTTTATGGCTTAAGTGTGAAAAACATGATATTAAATAAATAGAGGTAACACACAAAATGTTAAAAAAAAAAAAGGCCCCTTTGGGCATATTATAAAATCTAAAGACTTTTTTTTTTTTTTTTTTTTTTTTTTTTTTTTTTTTTAGTTAGTTAGTCCAAAGAAGCTTTCTCCCTAAAGGACTATTGTTTTCATTTTGCGTTGAAAACTTTAAAATGCTGTATCACTTTTCAAATCGTTGCCACCAAATACTCTCGCCCTGTATTATATTTGAAGAAATTAAATAATGAAGAATCTGTATAAATGTATGTATGTTTTTCACATTGTGATAAAACAATGATACCTAGAGCCATCAAATTTTGAATGACATAATCCTACTGCGAATATGGGCATCTGAAAGCCCAAATTTGGAATTTGTTTTATTATCAATTTCATATTTTGTAAAACTTTAATGAATTTTTTATTAACAAACCCAACGATTTAAAAGCGAGCAGGGGCAACACTCTATGGGGGGGGGATATTTTTATCTCCAGCGCGCGAAACTGTGTATTGGAAATTCTAAATATATGCTTATTTAAAAATTATTTTGCAACATTGCTGTTGAACTGAATTTTATGAATTAAGGGCAAAGAACATGATATTTAATAAAGAAAAGTAACATGCAAAACATTAAAAAAATGCCCCTTTGGACGTAATTTAAAATCTGAAATCTTTCAGATCCCCCTTTTTAAAATATTTTATTTATTTTTAATCACAATCAAATCAATTATTGTTGAAAATTATTTCAGGTGTCTCATGTTTCTCAATCACTGTAGACATTTTGTATTAAATTTATTATTTTATGTTAAATTTTGTATCTTGGTAGTTTTGTTACAATAAATTAGCATGTCATTAATTTGCATTATAAATTATTAAATCTTATCTAACACCTGTTTAAGTCAGTTTTTATATAATTTAAGTATATTAAAGCATTAAATACTGTAATTTTGATTTGTTTAATGTAATAATTTTACATTTTTTCCCCTTTAGAAAATGAAGAAAGTGCAGATGAGCCTGAACTTAATATTCACGGTAGTGCCCTTTCAACTCATAGGTGCATACATTTTCTTAAAGTCTGATTTTAATATTTTTGGTTATTTAATCAATCTTGATGCTGTTGATTGTTGAAACTAACTGTAGCAGTTCTGATGAAAAGCATGCTATTATGTTTTTCATTGTGAATGAGCAGTGTTCTAGATGTGAGAGTTAATTATTACTTTTGAATGATTTTCTTGAAAATTATTCTCATTTGAAAGAACTAGTAATTAACTGTAATTCCTTTACTCTAATAATTAAGAATATACATATTTATAGTTATTTAAAATCGAAAAGGAAGAAGAAATTGTATGAAGTCATTAGACTTTATACAATTTTTTTTTTTTTTTTTTTTTTTTTTTTTTTAAACTGTTTGATATCCTTTCGACAGTACAATAACCAAAAGAGTGAGTCTTTATGTCATGGCTTGTTTAATATTTTGCCCCTAATTAAGTAAAGTGGCTTTTTCTAATAATTTGTCCCTAATTAATAAGTGGCTTATTTAATATTTGTAAACTCATTACATTTAATTATTACTCTTTTTTGTTCTTATTGTTGAAAGGTACATTTGTTAATTTTCAAACATGTTTTAACCAATCCTTGAACAAATACTTTTTGGTTAATGAAAAAAATCTATAGTGCAATTTGGTTTTACAAAGAATGAGCAAAAGCCAAAATACAACTGGGCCTATGCAATTTTATGGCAGTTTGTGCTAGATGTTTTGACTGTGTGGTCGGTTAGAACTTAACAACCAAGCATACTGTCTTACTTTTAAGTCTTTAACAATAATAAGAGCAAAGTAGATTTTTTGACTTTAACTATATGGCCAGGCAGGTGTTGAAACTGGAGAAATGTTTACCTTATAGACACAAATGTTGATAGAATATGAATAGTTATTCATCCTCATCCTACATCACAAGTATTATGTCTTCCATTGCTGCTTCACCAATTATCCAAGTGGACTGTTATTTTTATCACTACCTTTTTATGGCTTCCAGTGTGCTTTCAGTCTTAGGTAATGAAACTATGACATACATATGTTATTTCTATTTACATAGCTTTGCATTTTATTGATATCATCTTTTCTTTTATTGTTGCATTTTTAAGAGATGTTTAGCGTAATTTGATAAGTTTCTCTTTTAAAGTCTAGATGTGCTCAAAGCTTTTCCCAGGTAAATTAATGGTAGTTGGTTTTTCTGTTATGCCATTTAGCTTGTAAAAGGCTCCACAGAAAGCCCTCTTTTTGTAAAGTGGGAGAACCTGTGCTTTGATTTGCCAGGAGACATATTATTGTATTTTCATTGTTTACATTATATTTGGATTTGAATAATTTCTTATAAAATTTTAAAATATTTTTAATTCTTTGCGGCATCCACAGAGCCACTGTACATTTGCAAATTTGAAAGAGTTTTAATTCTTGAAATTCTCACATTAAAGCTCTTTTGCAATGATTGGTAGAGAACTGCACTCACATGGTATAGATTCAAGTTCTGTCCTTGACATTTCCCAAAAGATGCAAGTCTCTCACATCACCTTTCCAATGCAACCCATAGATGTTGCATTCGCTTAAACATCAAAGCATTGAGCAGCAGCAAACTGTTTAAGTCAACAACCACTCTCCAGATGTTGTATTTTAAAAAGAGGGCATTTATCGATTTCTCTGGAACAAAAATCATAATAATAATTTTGTTGACTGCTTTACATGTACTATCTTGGATTCCAATAATGTATTTTTAATGGAATCATTCTTTTCATTTTATTTTCCCTTCCTTTGTATAAAAATGAAAAGTATTTAGTGGTCTCATTCATTTCGGGTGTATAAATCATCACTTTCTTTATGTTGTCTATATTTCTTTACAAAGTTTGTTATCTGGTACCAATAAGGATATATAAATCATTGATAGTTCTAATGTTAAAATTATTCAAAATTGATCAGTATGCAGTTAAAATTTTGATATTGCGTGTGCTATATTTTAAAATAAAATACAGAAACTTTTCTCCTAAAAAGTAACTGTATTTAGCACCAGATACACATCTGATGAAGAAAATTCTAGTATTACATCTGATCCAGGACAACACCAGAATGCTGGAGATGCACAAGTTCAGCATCATACTGTTAGTCCTCATCACCATCCAACATTACAGAGCTTGCCATCTGCAAATGATTCCGTTACACTTCAGTCGGTGGGTCCTGCTGCTTTAGACTTAGAACCTATTCTCCAAGAACTTAGATCACAGCGTGATGAATATCAGCATTTAGTTGAAGAAATTGAATCTGTAAAGGTAAGCTCTTTATATGAATACAATTTCATTAAGAATATTATGCAAAACCATATAGATTTCATTGTCTTAATTTCATTGTTGTTTAGTTTGTTATGATTGCTTGAGTTCACTAACTCAAGTATGTTGTTTTTATTATTTATAAACCTTTATAAGAAAATCACACGGACATCCATGCACGAATTGAAATTTTGAGGTGTGGAAAAGTATTTGCAAGGCATCCTGTTCTCTTTCATCATTAGTTCATGATATTTTAAAAGCAGAAGAAAGAGAAAAGTTCTAAATGTAAATCAATTAATGGGGAATGGTATATTTGATCAAAACTTTCTGTATTCAGATTGTGTATTAGTTAAGATATTGCTTAAACTGTATGGTTATGTAACTTCAAAATAGCATATATGGTAAAATGGGATATGCAAACATATATAAAATTGAGTAGTTATAAAATTTTGACTTCATTTTATTCTGTGTTTACTTATTGTTAGTTCTTTATTTGGTTGAAACTAATGAAGTACTGTTTCTCCTTTGAAATATTTTATTTTTTATTTATGTAAAGTTCTTATATATACCTACTAAATTTTAGAGTCAAATTCAGCAGGAATCGACATTCTTTAGCCAAGCTTTGCAAGACGAAAGATATCGATATGAAGTAAGTTAATAACTTTTTTTTTTTAAATTTCCTGGGAAATGTTCTCATTTCTTTAATTCTTTCTTTTATATTTTTAATTGCTCTATGTTATTATATAGACTCATATTTTTATTCAAGACAAATTAAAACATGAAATAAAGAAGATTGATTTATTATTTGAGACATTATTTATGTATTTTTCTAAATTTATTGCCTGGTTATTTGATGATGTTAATAACACATACATAAAAAAATTAACATTTCTTTCTTTTAAATTCTCTGTAGAATTATAGGTTTGTAATGGCACACTAATAATCGCAGTTAATATTATTTTCTTTAATCCTTTTTCTTCTCTGATTTATGTTTTTCCCGTTTTTCATCCATTTTTGTTTAAATATTAAGTTAGTGTTAATGTTGTGCTTTATTAATTTTAATGTATAACATTTCTTTTTTAAAAAAATTAATTCTCTGTAGAATTAAAAATAGGCTTGTAGTGCCACACTGATAATCACAATTAATATTTTCATTTTTATTTCCTGGGAAAATTATTTCTGTTTTGGATTGTTTATTTTCCTTAATCATTTTACTTGCGATTTATGTTTTTCCTACTTTTCATCTATTTTTGTTTAAATGTTATGTTAGTGTTAATTTTGTGCTTTTTAATTTTACTATGTGTATTATAAGGTATAAAATAATTATTTTTTCTTGTAAAATTTTTCATAATTTTGCAAGTGAAATGTCTTTAAATATTATTTTGTTTTATATAAAAAGGAGCAGTAATAATTGTTTATTTTTAAAAGTGCTTTTTAATATTATATTAGTTTATAATTTAACCCTTTGACGCGTGGTGGTCGCGCCCTGAAACCACCAATTTACGAATTTTTTTCTCCTCTTCCTTCCGAAATTTTTGAGTGAAAATCAATTTATTACTGATCTTTTACCTCTAAATAACACAAAATGACTGCAGAATCATACATGTTTTAGGTCTTAGTACTTCAAATCGGACACCTTTTAATATTCGTTTTCAATGAGACAAAATAACTTCCATTTATTAATATAAACAACTTTAAATTTCAAAAGTTCTTCATCGCACATCATGATTTCTATCATAAACAATAAAAAATAGCAATAATTAAACTGAATACATAAAAAAATACATTCTATATGTATGGCATTTGCTTTGTGGTTTCAGGGCGCGACCACTGCGCCACTAGAGCATTGTGTCACAATGCTCTAGATGCTCGGTGGTCGCGCCTTGAAACCACTGCTCTTCACAATGGCGTTTGCTTGCTTCTCAAATTTGAATGTTTATTTTTACCGGGATATAGATAAGGGGTTTTGAAACCACAGAGTTATTTTATTACTAAACAATACATGCACCTGCCCAGTAAAAAAGTCTTTCATTTCCATCACTTTTCTCTGACCTCAACACACTTGCTCCCCAAGTTAGTATTGTGTTTTTATAAATTATTTCCTGTGGTTTAAATTTAATGTTTTGATATAGTTAAAAATAGAAATCGCGTAAAGTTTTATTTAAATTAAAAATATTTTCTGAATATTTTGAGACGAAATACGAATAAAATAAGTATGAATGGAAAACGAATGATCCGTACCAAAGCCAAAAAGACCAAGGCCCCCCCCCCTATCAACATAAAAAAACCACAAAATTCATGTGCCAGATGAAAAGAAACTAAATAACGCTGGACATATACCAGTGAAATTTAAATCCAGGCAGTTTAGATTTTGTTGCACAAGGAAGAAACCTCATAGAAGATACATGTGCGAAACGTGCAATGTGGGTTTTATGCATCTACCAAAAAGACAAAACATGCTTTGAACAGTTTCACAAAAAATATCTGCACTTTGAAATTTAAAGAAAAAACACAGGTGTTTTTTTTCTTTTTTTAAATCCTTATTTTACGGAGTTTTATAATCCATTTAGCAAACGTCCTTATAATGTAGGTACTTATATTTTCACTGCTACAGAAAAATTACATAAATGTTTATTTTTTAATTTTTCTTGAAAATTTACTTTGTAAAATAATGTAAAAAAATTATATATAATGCAATTCCTACATACGTTTTTAAAAAATTCGTAAATTTTGTCATTTATTGGAAACATTCATCATTTATTGGAGAAAGGTAAGTTTTTCTTTTTTTCCTTTTACCTAGATAAGTTTCAAAGTCCTACACGCGCGGTGGTTTCACAGTGCGACCTCCACCCACAGAACAATGGGCAAGAGAAGATTTTTTTTAAATTCACATATTATTTGTCTCTAGGATCATAATATTCAATTTCTAGAGTTTTTAGTTAAAAAAATTATAAAAATAATATTGCGCGTGTCAAAGGGATAAATGTTTTGTTTTTTACGAGAGTTGATTTATTTCAAATGTTGTGTTTCAACGTATTTTAAATATTTAGTTTATTTACATATTTAGTTTAATATTTAGTTTTTAAATATTATGTTAGTTAGTATTAATGGGTTTTTCTGTATCAATTTATTTTTGTTTAAGCGTTTAGAGGAACAGATGAATGATTTGATTGAGCTTCATCAAAATGAAATTGAAAATTTAAAGCAAGGAATTGCCGACATGGAAGAGAAAGTACAATACCAAAGTGAAGAAAGGTTAAGGGATGTTCATGATGTTCTTGAAAATTGCCAGACACGTGTATGTTGCATTATGTAATTTTTACATTAATTGTACATGATTATAATTTTAAATCATAAATTAGAAGGGATTTTTCAAGGAAATTCCTTACTAGGAAAGAAAAGTAAAAATATATATTTTTTGTGAAATGAATATTTTGATGATGTATGTTTGTTGAATTGTGTTTAAATTCGCATCTGATTTTATCTTTGGTTATAACATAGCTGTTTAAATTTATAGTACCTTTCTTTGCCTGCGTCTAAATATAACCTAGAATTTTATCAAGTTTTACTTCTATATAAGAAAGAAAGAGAAGTATTTTATGTATAATTTTTTCATTATTGGAATTCTTTTTTAAAAATTTCATCTCTGGTATTTTAACAATGTAGAGATACCAGCTTTTAAGGCAATTAAAGCAATTTAAGGTATTAATGCAATTAGTAAAATTCAACTAATGAGGGATTTTTTGACTAAATAATAATCTCAACACTAGAGTGTTCCCAGATTGGAAAGAAGGGGTTCAACAGCATATACTGGTTTTTAACGTGATATAAAAGCCGTATTGCTTATGCTTTAGTGATAAACAAAAGAATAAAAATGCAAAAATTAATATACTTTTTCCCATTCCACCGTCCCTTACTGCTTGAGTGCTTAAGTTAGCTTTGTTGTACATTCTGCTGCAGGAAACTCTCCTTGGCTAAACTTTATCCAAAGTAACTTAAAGAACTCTGAAACAAACAGTGTTGTGAGTAAATTATTTTGCCTTCTGTGCAAGAAATGCATTCGGTGCATCAGTCCATAAACTGGTCTAAGCTGAGTTTGATTTTTCATAATGCTGAAAATCCTTTTAGTTGGTGTGTTCGTTTTGTAATCTAAACTGCCATCAGTAGCTAATGCAGATGGCACAATTTACAAAATTTGCACAATTTTCTTTCTCATATAATCTGCCATGTATTTAACCAGAGCTAGTCCTTTCACATGCAATTTTTTGGAAGTAGTAGAACTGGGAAACATTAATTGAAACAAAGAATTTGCATGATCAGCTCTCGTAATTGGAATATTGTGTTTCACTAAATAGAAATTATTAAAATAAAAGCATTTATAATAGAATATATATAATAGAATTGTTGTATTTTATGAAAAGTGATGACACTGCTTTGAAGCAGATTTTATTGTCATGTATTGTTTATTAGATTACATGTGTCACTTGCAGTCATTAAGACTGCTTAGAGTAACTGAAAAGTTCCTGCTACACACAGAATGTAACACATAAATTTCTGAACATTTGAAGCAAGTAAACATGGACAATCCTCACTGTACTTTGTACTTTTGGAGAATTTTTTGCTTGTTTGAAAGTGACATGATAGATGCATTTATTACAATTGTTTTTAATAAAAATACACATGAAGAAAGTTCAAGAAGCAACATATTAAAATCTGACATAGCTGATATATCAATTATGGTGTCAACAAAACTATTGGAGTCAATATGATATATCAAGCATGGCATCAGGACAATCATATACTTTGAACATTCACTTTTGCTCATATAGAGTAGTCATATGATTCGAATATGGCATTTTCTATACAGAACAAAATCCAAGATCCGGACTCGTCAGGACTTCCGCGATTCTGTATTTGGGATTTTTCCGGATATTAGATCGTTAGTTTAAATCTAGTAAGATGACATGTAGAAATTATAAAAATTAAAAATATGAAATCGCGATTTTTGAAATAATGAAGCATTTATGATCTAAAGGGTGACAAAATTTCCAAAAAAAGCTTAATATTTATTTGTACTTTGTAAAACATTTCTTTCAATGTAAGTTGTTTAAGTTGCTTCATTTTTTGTGCTAATACTTTCTCTTTAATTCTGTAGACAGACATATCTTCTTATTCAGTTATGAAGTTCCATTGCTCAAGTCCTATAATTGCTGTGTCAAGTATTCCGACTAACCTGTCAATCGAAATTTTTTTGTTTTCAGTAACCTCTCTGTCACTTTCTTCAATATCAGTTGTGGTATTTTCTGGATTTAGAACCAACCATACTACAGATTTCTCCATCCATTAATTGATTCATGGTTGGTCCAAATTTGTTTTCAGTATTGATATCTATCTTCTCTTTCATCTATTTTATGTCAGAAGGTCATTTTTGCTTAATGTTTTGGTGCTTTAACAAAACCAGCTTTTTGTAATTCCATATTATCCAGTATTTTCCGATTACTTTACCTCCAGTCTATTTTATATCAAATAAATGAGACACTTTTGTTTACAAGAAAGGAGAAAAAACACTTTAGAAGAATATAAAGAATTAAAAATAGTGATCATATATTTAAAAAATGTTTTTCCTCGTATATAATATGAGATTTCACCATAATATAAGATCTCAATGTCACTTAATATCAGTAATGCGAAAAGAAGTATCTGTTTTAGTTTTGAGAGTAAACTGATTAGTAAGCTGGTGAATTTTTGGTTTCAAAAATTTTAGCAATACGATCATCTGTTCCATTGAAGCAGAAAATTATGCCATAACAAATGTAGGAATGGTTACATAAGATTAATTAAATGCAAAATAATTCCAGTGTCAGCAAGAATGAGATAAGAATACTGCATGCTCAGCTTAGAAGTATTTGGATTACCTATTAATTAAAATTACTGATTTATCAATTTCAGTTTTTAGAGCAATAACAAAGGAAAAATGACATGTATCATAAGAATCGGTGTTTATTTCCAGATGGAATTTCCAGCATTGAAAAGAATTCAATAATTAAATGTAAATTGTGTGAATCATAAACCTTATCGTTAGATTTCAGAGACTATTCCTTGTATACATTTTTTATTCTTTTGTTGAGTTTTAACATTTTATCTTTTAATAGGTAAGAAAATAAAACATCTTGATAACTTTGATTGTAGATTATTGGTTTTTAAATACTTATATAAATATATTGTCAGTTTTTCAAAATTCAGTGCTTTTTGATTGAATTAGGTACTTCAGATTGCTGTATTGCTTGTAACTGTGATATCTTTCAGAAGTTAGTATTGTATCTTCCCTGAGTATGTTGCCATGATGCATTGCATACAAAACATATTGTTAGAAAATTTAGAAACTTATCTTGCTTACGATTGTATCAGTTTTTTTTTTTTTTTTTTTTTTTTTTTTTTTTTTTTAAGTTCTCTATTATGCCATTTTTAATAACATTTATTGGAATTTTTTTCCCCAAATGTTCGCTTTCATTGTTTTTCCCACGACTACAATATAGTTTTCTTTAGGAAGCATCTTTCCTAGTTTTCTGTAGAAGGCATCTTCCTCTTGAGCATCTCTCATTAATTTGAAAACGTACGAATTATAATAATTTAAAAGATGTATTTCCTAAAAAATGAAACCAACTTAATTCTTGCAATTACAAATTATATGTTTAATCATTTTAAATAATACTTAAAAAGTCGTTTTTTTTCCCCATGTATGTATGTGTGATTGCATTATACTTCTCTTGATTTATTGAATAAGAATGAATTAATCAAGATTCTTTGGTTATTATTCTAATTTGTAGCAATACTGTATACTTCTAATTATGTTAACTAAGCATTTTAAAATTGCATTTATATAAACCTGATCACCAAAAGTAGTTGTAAAAAAGAAATGCGTATGTGTATGTGTATATAGAGAGAGACAAAAAGTAAGAAATTTAGAAACAGTTTCACAAAGACCCAAAAGAAGTAAAATTCAATACCATTAAATTTCAAGAAACCCTACAAAAATGTAAAATAAGAATTAAAGAAATGTGAAATACTAAAAGCTTAAAAATTACAAAATCCAGAAAAAATACGAAAGAAAAATTCAATGAAACCAGATATAATGTTATCAAGAGGAGGATACACCAGACTCAAACTGCATCCCCCTCCACTTGAAAACCACTATATTTCTGTTATCCAAAATCAGCTGATTAACCATTCTAAAGTGTTAATTAAAACAGTTCATCTGAAAATTTTGAAGTCCTCCCCGATGCAGTGTAAGTAAAAATTCCAAGTCAAATAACGCAATTGAAATTACTTAGACACTGTAAAATGAAATTAGAATTGAAATAATACAAAACTTAGTCATTGATTTGAAATTAAAATATAGAAATACAAAACTTTCAGAAAATAAATAGAAAACATTTTTAACCAACTACAAGTTTTGAAACAAAGACCAGCAGTGAAAGCATTACGATCAAAAAGGATGCCTAGGGTTGCCAGTTTGGCATCATTGGCAAAACAAATTCGTGATGGCAAAGAAAAAATCTCCTAAATGGTGATTTAAATGCATGCATAATGTTAGAAAAGTAAAAAGTCTTCACATCATGGGCGTATCATGACAACTTTGAATATAGTAGGCCCTTTGTTAATAAAAGTAAAGTAAAAAAAATTATAGTAAACTAGCAGCTTTGCTGCCAGCCTTCGTCTGGCTTTTAAATGTACCGGGAAAATGGCTGAAGGGAACACCAAACGTTAAATTTAAAAACTGTATAGAATTTTACTCTGCAGAAAAACTTCATAAAAAAAACAGTTATTATGTATAACAAATTATAATGAAATGACAGTATCCCTTAATACAAAATATTATCCTAATAAATAAATTAACCAACTTCCCTTTGCAAAATCTTAAGAACTCAAATGGTATAAAGGAGGTTAAGAACTTTGTTTCCTAAAAAAAATCACTCAAAACTTTTCATTATCTTAGAAACAGTGAAATAAGCAATAAATAACATAAAAGAATACAAAAAAACAAAAGACTCTGAAAAGCAAAGTATAATAAATGATATTTTATCTTAAATTTTCAAAAGAAAAAAATTAGGTCCTACTTTGGTAGACAGTTGCACAGATTTTTGGAGATTTACATTGGCGCAATTGTTGCCGCAGTTTTACAGTCATCAGCCATCTTGAAAACTGCAGTTTTTACATATTTTACACATATAGGAAAGTATTAGAACTTTAAAAAAATAAATATCGTTAAAAATAATTGATTAATTTTTTGTTGAAAAT